CTTCTTCCCCTATTCCACTCTGTGCCATTTCACAATCAACTACAATTAAAAACAGAGCCATAGACAAGAGGAAGAGAGGGGGTTGGGGGGAAGGTATCAACAACCTAGGGATGGCACTTCAGATGACAAAGAAATTATTATAGAGAACCATACACAAAAAGACAAAGAGGACACAGTAGAATCTTTTGTTCAATGTTAACCTATATTTATGTTCTCTGAGCTCTTTCTAAACTTACAAATAATGGACAAAGCATTCACAATTATTCCTAGACTAGCAGACAAGGTTTTTAAACAGGAAACTTGACTTGTCTATAACTTCCTCAAGCATTATTATTTCACTTACTGAGCAACTACACAATGATATTAAAAAACTGCTCAAGAACTTTCACATGTAATTTCCCAGAGCTTTCATTTTTATTTTCAGCAATCAGATACTTTGAAACTTTGAAGGGGTCTGCACTTCACCAGTGTTAAATTCCTTTCTCAAGAGGCTTATATCAGGCCTCTTAGCTACAGATTTTCCATTAATATGGAGGAAATTTTTTTTTAAAAAAAAATCAGCAATCGTTGGTTGTCTTTGAAGAGCTGTCCTGTCTTTAAAGAGTATTAATCCTAACTTGAAGTCCAAAGGCCATTTCTTTTACCTTTTCCAATTATATAAGTTTAACTCATCTGGATTCATGACATTCTTTAATGACACTACTATTCCAAGAATAGTTGAGAAAATCCCTACAATGCATGATAAATCTAGAAACAAATGCTGGGAAATAAGTTAATACAACAAAAAACAAAACAAAACTGAAGAAAGACAGGATACTGGCTGAAAAAGAATACAGAAGACCCCATTTGTCTTTTAATGTAATAGAGTGAATACACTGATTCAGAACGTACACATATAAACACAGAGCAAGCTTTCATACTTCAGCTACAAGATTGATACAAAACTTGTGTGCATAACATTCATTTATTAAAATTCAATTATTGGTGAGAGATCATTATTTGTCATTCGCAGACTTTTCTTCTCTTACTTCTACCCTGGGATATAAAATCACCTTTGTTATAAATTCGATTTTATTAACAGAATAAAAACAACACTTACCTGGCACAGCGAACCCAACCAGTGTGTTGGAATAGGGTAAACAAAGGGCGCTGATAGCAAACACTCCATATTTTTACTAATTTATCATTGGATGCTGAAACTAGGGAGCAGCCATCATGGGAGAAGCTCACACTCCGAACAGATGCTGTATGACCTCTCAGTACTGATGATTCTCCATGACTAAGGGGAGAGCAAAGAAAATGAAAGAAAACCCCAAATACTAAGTCACAAATCACAATTATATTAGATTTTAAATCCCCGTAAAACTCAATGTCAGCATATTTAGAATCTTACCCAAATGAAAAAGCAGTATACAGAGGTCAAATCTTAATGTCACCATTACTTTTTTACTTAATATTATTAGAATAACATTTCTTAAGTTGCATCTAACATGACCAATTTTACAGAACAATGCAATTAAGCAACATTGGCCTTTTGTCTCATTAGCATTAGTATTTGAAAGAGATTTTTTTTTATACAGTACTCTATAAAACTGCTTGAAAGTTCAAGTAACGTCAGTCTAAGATCATACTGAATAACTCATAATTACTACTAGTCAAGAACAGTCTGATAAAGCAAGTTCATTAAAAATGTTTTTTTCCAAAAAATTGTTTTCTTCATCACATCTCCCCAAAATGAAGTGCAGCCATGCAATCTTTATTAAAATATAATCTTTAAGCCAGAGAAATATTATGAAGCATAGTTCTAAACACACAAAATTGTGACCTCTGAGTTGTTATTTTTCTTTTGAAACTACAAATTATTAACAGAAAATAACAAAGTAATACAGTGAAGAACCGTGTTGCTTGTTGTCCCCAATCTCCATTTCTGTCAAAGCCCAGGCATGTGGGAAGAAAAAAAAAAAAAAAAAAACTTGAGAGAAGCCTTCAATATTCACATTACACAATAATGAAACACATATCCAGCAGTGCTCAGTAATACTCACATGCAAGGAATCCATAGCCTGATAGTGTGATCATGAGAAGCTGAAGCCAGCACCTGCCCATCTGGTGAGAACTCTACACTTGTCACTGCTTCTGCATGGCCACCAAACTTGTAGGCTCTGCACTGCGTCTCCAGCTTCCACAATATAAGAAACCTATCCACAGAGCAGGTAACTGGCAAGAAATAAAACATATTAGGAGTCTGCTCACTGTTCTTATGAAAGTCAGAGCTAACAACTATGGATTTGGATTCACCAGAGAACTTAATGGGTATTACGGGGAGGGAGGAGTTACTAGGTTTTAATGGTTACTTAGCCTGAGCAGAAGCCTGGTAGCAAGTAATGCCAACACCAAGCTTTCACAAGGATGTCACAAGACTGGGAGAAGTAAAGGATAGTTTTTAACAGGTAGCTCTCCCACATATTACGCCAACTGGCTTACAAGTATTTTGAAGACATGGAGCAAAATATTCAAAGCTGAACATCATGCACATCAGTCAGCACAAATCCCAATCTGCCTTTACCAAATCCTAAAAACAATAGACAAACTCTTCAGTAATCTCATTTTGATCTCTGAGATGGAATTTGTTTCAAGCATCAAGTGTTTAACTCCAAAAAACACAGGAACTTAAACTCAAGTCACGACTTCTAACACTTCAGATATCTACACTTGAGTGAAGATATCAATATATGATAATTCTATAATCCTGTTTAAGTACCAATTTTATAATACTAATATTTGTCTAGTTCAAAAGACAATACGAAGTTGTCAGTCTGAAAATATGAAGAACATGTTTGAGGGTGAGTTTTTTGCAGTCACTTTACAGGTGAACTATACTACCTACAATCAAAAAGGCAAACCTAACTTTTATCAGAGCTTGATCGTTTTCAGGAACCAATTAGAAGCAAAGACAATAAGCAGTTGAATTAAACAGGTGCATGTGATTTTCCTACATCCCTTACCATCTTCATCTCTGCTAAATTTCAGTATATAGACATAAATAAAAACAAGATAGTCACAATCCCATCCCTCAGTTTTCAAACTCCTAACCCTAGTAGAGAAAAGAAGGGAAAGGAAGGAAAAACAGGGGCCTCCTGGAAGTTGGAAGAGAACATGAAGAAGATGGCTTTTCTCTTCCCAGTTTCTTTCAAGCACTAACATAGCACAAAGAAATTGAGTTTCCTTATTACCACATCAAGGCAAGCCTCAAACAAAATATTAGCATATTAGAAAATTATATTTTAACTATTAAATTCCCTTTATGACTTTGATACAAAGATACTATTTTTATTCCTAAAAGACTAGCTTCTGCTAAAAGATGTGAGACTATCTCTACGCCCATATCAACAGGCCTATATATGACAAAGAAATACAGGATATTTTCTTCCCACTTCAACTTTTCAAAACCCTGCTTTACAGCAGGGTCTTTCTAATTGTACTTGAAGGAATTCCTTTCTCCCTTTGATTCTGAAAAGTGTGATCTACAGTGGAGTAAAACTAAAAGGAAAAAGTGAAACATAAGCTAAATAGAATTTGAAGGCATCAGGCTGGAAATGTGAAACAGACAAGACTAATGGCTTCTAAAACAAATAGTTGATGAACTACCAAATATCTGTTGTATCTTATGAAATGCATGAAGGCTGTGCAGTATCAGCTTTCAGTTCTAAAAACTGAAGAAAATATTCTAGAACGGTGACAGCACCTTTCATTCAGAGCCTGGTTTCTTGCAACTTGCTGTCTCATAGATGGGCTATCCCAAGGTAAATGAGACACAAGCAGTGACTTGAAGTTCTCCTTTCCGTGGGACATCTGTGACCATCTTCCTTATTTTCCCTCTGGACTCCCTGCTGCCTATGCAATATTTAAATATTGGATCGGAAACAAAAAAAAAAAAAGCACAGAAGATCCAGAAGAATTTTTTTAGGCTGTGTCATAGCACAAATAGGCTTGTTGCTCCTCAGAGAATACGTGACATACCCAAAACCATGTTTAGAGGTGAAAGACAATTTGTCCTCGCTATGAACAACTGAAAAATACGACTAAAATGTAGAAAGCTGAAAACTCACACTGAGCTGACTCCAATATACAACTTGCTTCAGTTTATAACCTGAGTGCTTTTTTTTTAAACATCAGTGCTTCTGTACACACCCACGTATAGCAGATACACCACTGGATAATTTGCTTTTCTGCTGATGAGTCATTACAGAACAGAGCTCCAAAAAATAAGGTCCTGGCCTTATGCAAAGGCCAAGTTGCGAGATCTACAGCCAAGTGGTGTGTAAACAGATACCTGAGCTTCACTATATGCCACAAAAAAGATTTTATGGTATTTGCAATGAAACGAAGTTCAATTTATGAATTGTGGCTATTGATGCTATACATTGTCATATATACACACAAATATATGAACACAAGTTGCTGTAATAAAGAATTACCATCTCACTCTCACTTCCCACAATAACAAAGTGGTGACTAAGAAGGTTGTTCAAAGATCAAAAGAGACAAACTCAGACAGGTTTTAGCAGCTCAATGTACATCTCTCAAAATACTGAAGCATCTCCAATATAATTAATCACTCAGTCCAAGAATTACAGGGCAGACGGAATACAGTGCACATGATGGGTGTGTGAATATTCAAACTCTACCACTGCCAACAAACCCCCACACTTTACAGGAACCCTGCAGCCCTCAATGATACAGTACAACGTCACAATACAAACACATTTTGCAATGAATTGCAAGATTTCCTACTTGGAGAAAAGTAATTATTAATTGAACCTCTGTCAAAAAAGCCAATCTAGAATTCCAAGTGCAGCGGATAAAATATGAAGAACTTTTAGTAACTTCTGCAAGTTCAAGTTATTGGCAGTTGCATTCTGTATGCAGGTACACAAGAGGAAAAGAACTGAAAGGAGTCAGCACACTTGCCAACATTTAATTTTCTGGATTTTATTTTTTCAAAAGAAATCCCAAAGCCCTCCACATTTATTCAGTGTTAAGTTTACATTCAATTTCTTTTAAGTCACTTAGAATCAGTAGTTTAAAATATATACAAGTGTTCACCAAATCTTCAAAGTCTAACAGAATAGAAAACCATTTGAAGTTTCAGATTTTCCAGAAATCTGTACGTACTGAAAAATAGCTGGATAGGAGTATTGAAATGGTAACATGTTTTCTGTTTTTTCTTTTTCTTTCTCTAGTCCCTCTTCCTTTTATTCACATGTTTTTTAATTCCCATTGGGAAGATTTAAATTTTATTCTTTTTTGGTTGTTGTTGTTATTTTCTCCCCAGTTTGTTTCAAAATATCACCAAAAAATAGAAATGGATGTCATGAGGAAGAGGAAGGCTTCATATACATAGAGAGAATAACTTCTCAAACTCAGAGGCAGATTCACTTCTAATTATTGCTTAAATAGATAAGGAATACTTTGAAAGTCAGGTTTAACTTGAAGGTATTTCTTTATATGAGAAGCAGTTTTTGCCAAGTGCTAAAAAATTAACTGTATAAAATTTGCATAGTCTATACTCACAGCATTTTATTACTTTTATCTGAAGAAACATGCATTGCACATACCATTTATGATCTGCCACACAGGAGAATCTAGGCCTTTTTCCTGTAATTTCTATTGACTGTAACAGCAAACTTTTCACAAAAGCACATAATTTATAAAATTTATTGCCCCAGTACATAATGACTGGTTGCCTTTTAAAATTTGATAAATGGTTCATAACTTGCAGGTCCACAAAAGAATTCCTGCTGCAAAGTGGAATGCAATTTCTCAGGAATGTTTCCCTTATGTAGTAAAAAGTTCCCTTTCTTTTTTTTTTAACAAACAAACAAAAAACCAACAACAACAAAAAAACCAACTTGGGGGAAAAAGGAAGATGAAAAATGGGAAAACATCAAATTGCAAGTAACTGCCTAAAAATAAATTAAAGTCTTAAAAGAATCCATGCCACACAGTGGCAACCATTTTTAGCATGATTCAATGCTGCATTCCAAGCTCCAAATTTTCTTCTGTTCATCTTCTATCTTAACCTGTTTCCACCCAAACTGCTCAAGGCTTCCAAGTCAATAAGATTTAAGAATATGTTCTAACTTAATCTTACTTTATTTTTGGCAAAACTTCAACTACATCAGTTTTCACTAGTCCCTTTTTAACCCTTCCACCACCAACACCTGTAGCAAATGCACATCCACTACATTCCTCAAGTATCCAGATTCCTAATGCTCACTAGCTTACATTTCTACCTACCAGCCCCATGTAAAGACTTACTAAACTACTACTTACTACTGAAGAATATTTATCACTTAATTGAAAATAATCAAAGCAGCTGGAATGCACAACACATTAAGAAAAGTGTTCAACTTAAATCTTATGAAACTAAAATACAGATACTAATGAAAAATTTCTTTCAAGTACACAATATATCTGTGACATCTACCATCTATAATCACAATCAAAACAATTAGTGATATGATTCAAGAATCAGTATTCTTCAAAAACTCAGCATAACAGAAAAAAGAAAATATTCTAAATAAGTAATTCTGTGAACCACCTTACCAACAAATCTTAGTTTCATCCAAGCTGTCCTTTGTCATTTCAACTCCCTTCATGTCAGAAGCTTCTGCTTCCCAGCCTTACCCAAGGTCTCCAGTAGTATTGTTTTGACTAGAGGCAGTTAATGCTGTATTATTTCAAAACTCTTTCAAGGGCTGGCCCATGCCAGCTGTTGCCAAAACACAAAAAGCAGAATAAAACAGCCCAAATGTTCCTTGATGTTACCTTCCTCTACCCTGCTGACAGATGAAATGAAAAAAAAACCAACAAAAAACAAACAACAAAAAATCCAAACATGGGTCTAGATCACATAACTTTTGTGTCCCTAGGATGTGGGGCTGAACATGGAAAACTTACACAGAGGCAATGCATACATTAAATATATAGCTAAGAAACAGCAGTAGCTAAGGCAATTTTGTGGCTCCCTTCCTTCCATTGCCTTTAAACAAAATTCTTACTTGTAGCTGTCGCTATTTTTTCTATTTGTGATATCGCCAACATGTCCTTGGTTCCACTGGTACCACACTCACCTCTAAATGCATGAGAGCTCCTGACTAAGCCCCACGGGGTAAGATTTATAATAGGTACAAGATTGCAAAGCAGTACCAAAGCCCTTCTAGGTAAATAAACTTCCTGTTCTTCTATGTAATATAGTACCCTTAATAGCATGTACCGTCAATCAATGTGCCTCCATTCAACCTACTCCAATGCTACTGTAGCATTACTTAGGGTGTTAGATACATATTTTATAATGCAAATGCAACATAGGTCAGCTAATACCACTGCAAGAACCTTAACTTTCATGTTGTAAATATTTTTTTTTTTGTTTACATGTAACATTTATCTTGCAGGATTATTGCATGATTTTAGGATGGAAAAAATCCCTCCTCAGTCCACTCAGAAAGTTTTGTTTTACCATAATCAAGACTGAGCAAATTAATAATGGATCAAAATTTTACAAAAGTGAAAAGTATTAGATGTTCTAATCCATGTTTTAGAAACCAAACCCCACTATTTACTTTTGCTTTCCATACAGTTCATCACTACAGACACATCTGAAAACATTCCAAGGTACTCAATCAAACATTGCTATCTGCTCACACGTGTAAAAAGCTTGGAGATCACAGTCCATTCGATTCACACTACCAGCAGTGATTATTTTTCAAATTTCCAAATCTGATTTTTATCTCCAGCATTACAAGTTCTCATTTGCACATCAGCGTGGCCCTCAGTCGTACGATAAGCAGTAAGGCACTTCCCCGAATGAGGATGATAAATAGTCCCATCTTCTCTGAAGTGCCAGATAATAATTTCTGGGATGGGAGATCCATCTTTTGGGCAGCTCCTCATACCTATGAAATCTTCACGCTCAGGGACTTCAGCACACAGCTCAGTTACAGAGTTAAATCTAATCTCCTGGTTTGATGTATATTCAAAAAATTGGTTGCCTCCCTGACCATGACAACCAAAGAGAGAAAGGTGAGACCCTGTAGGATTATGTTCCTGTAAGACATAGTCAAGGCACTCTGTAGGTATTCCCATGCTGCGGATAGCACCGTGCCAGCCTGGACGATCTTCTGGTACATGCAACTCAGCAAATACATTTTTTAAATACCAGTGAAAACTCTTGCATTTCAAACGCTCTCTAAGAATCTTTCTTTCAGAAATGTCTCCGTAATTTTCTTTCCTTGCTGAAGGATTTCTGTTGTAGAAGTGGTCTTTGAACTCATCCATCCACACCTCAGCAGCACGTGCTGTGTTCTGAAGGAAATTTGGTCTAGCATAGGGCGCACGCTTTGGAAACACATGGCCCACATGGGAGCACGGATGAATCTCCAACATGCCGCCACACTGCCAAACCCTAAATGATAATTCTAAGTTCTCCCCTCCCCAAACATCCATTCCTGTATCATAGGTTCCCAGGTACTCAAAATACTTCTTGCTGACAGCAAACAAGCCACCAGCCATAGTTGGGGATCTGATTGGGTCGGTTTCAGATCTGCGCCTGAGACGTTCGTGTTTAGGCACCGAGTGCCACTGGAACGTCAGCCGCCAGTCAAAGCCCCCAATCATGGGCTCTGCCGTTTGCATGTAGTATTCAAATGTTTTCCAGTCAATGGTGTCAATGACAGGACAAACAATAACAGTCTCATTCTCAGCAATCCTTTCGAGCAGTGGTTCCAGCCAGCCGGAAACACATTCACAGTGACAATCTAGGAATGTGAGAACATCACCGGTAGCAAAGGTAGCGCCAATCAAGCGTGCACGAACCAATCCTTCTCGTTTGTTGGTTCTTATCAAGCGAACTCTTTTCAGACTACTTATGTATTTTTCGAGTTCAGCCTTCAAATACACTTTATCGCTCAGGTCATCCACCAGTATAATTTCTTTCAGAAGCACTGAAGGTGTTGTTTCAAGAACACTGTGTATCGTTCGCAGCAGTGTTGACCAGGCTTCATTGTAGAAAGCAATTATAACAGATGTGGTGGGCAGTCTTCTGTAGCTGTAAGATTTAGCTTTACAACCACTCAGTCGATTATCTTCAATGTGCCGGTGGAGAGAAATTTTATCACTTAAATAAATATTTATTGCATATTTCTCAATCAGCTCTTCTTCCTGTTTCTTTTCCTCAGGACTCAGCTGTGGGCGAGAGGGTTTACCCCATTCTCCTGGAGCGTAAGGGTCAGGTGGGGGTTTGTCATACACTGGACGAGCCAAATCGACAGCTTCTTCTGTTCTGTCAGAAAAGCGCCTCTCCCATTTCCCTTTAGCGATGCTCTCGCCGGCGAGGGAGGCACCAAAGGAAGAAACCGACAGCTCGACCACAAAGTAAGCGATCATTAAGAAGCCGAGGAACACGCAGCTTTTGCGGACCCACGTCCATCTTCTCGCCAGACGGATCCTCATCTTAGGGAGTTAAAAGCAGCTCCTTAGCAGAGACGGGTCCGTGAACTCCTGCCGGGTCTCCCCGCACCCCCGGGGAGGAGGGGGCTGCAGGCACGCCCAGCCTCGGGCTCGGGCCGCCGGCAGAGTTTGCAGCCAGCCAGCCGTGCTGGGCCCGGTAGATTCCAGGGGGACGGCGGGGGAGCGGGGTGGCGGCGGAGGCACGGAGCAGCCCCCTGCCCCTCCGGCCTCGGCGCTCCCCTCACTTACTTCCTCCTCCTCCTCCTCCTCTCTCTCCGCGGGACAAACCCCTCCTCCCGCCTTGTGGTTTGCTCAAAAAGTTGTCGCTTAAGGAAGGGGCAGAGACTCCTTAGCCCGCCCGAAGGCGCGGGAGCCCGCCCCGCCTCCGCGCCCGGACCTGCGCCCGGAACCGCCCGGCGGCTCCGGGGAGGGAAAGAGGGAGGAGGGAGCGGGCTGCCCCGCCCGGAAAGCAAACGGCGCCCGGCCCCGCACTCACCCAGCCCCGTCGCGTTCGCGTTGAAGGCGACGCCCGTCACCGCCGCCGTGTGGCCGCGGAAAGGCCGGATCAGGACGGGGTCCTCCTGGGGAGAGGGTGCGCACCGTCAGGCTGCGGGCGGGGGCGGCCGCGCTCGCCCTCCCCCGCCCCTTAGGGGCCGCTAACGCCCCGCGCGCGGCGGGGGGCGCCGGGG